ACAGAATTTATGGAACTGTAGTCTCTGAACGCTGAAAAAGTCCTAATGTTTATGTAAAAACAAATTCCACAAAGTCCACATATAGGGAAGACTATTTTTTCTTCACAAAATTTAACCACAGAGGTAAGACAGTCACAGATATTAGGCAGCCAAAATATTAAAACTTACTCAAAGCTTATTCCTAAAATTTCTGACTATCATCCTGATCACAAAACTATACAAAGTCCCACTACTCTTAACAAATTAATTAAATCAAATGTCCAGCTAAATACAGTCAACTCTTAATAATCCTTAGTACGGTCAACTAACAGATAAGCCACACCATGGATATTCATCCAGGCTACAATCTGCTAAATCCAACTGCATTGTTTCCAAGATCTGTGCAAGTGCAGGAGCAGAATGACCATTTTCACACAGTGTGAAAATTGAACAAACACGTGCAATCAGATCTTAACTGCTTCTGTTCAGGGTCAGTTCAGGTCTCTGACAACGGAAAGCACAAGAGGGACACTGAAGCAGACTAGGATGTATTCCACTCAAATCCAGGCAGAATTATCTCTTTGGGGTTGCTACAAGGCTCCAATTACAGTGACAGCAGCCACCATCACCAAGTCAAGAACAGGTAGACATCTGTGTACTCTCCAGTGTGCCAAAAAAGGTTATGAGCAACAAAAAATGCCATTTCCACTTGGTGCTTCACATAAACTCTTTAGTCCTTCCAGATCCATGCACACTAGCAACTTGGTGCAGAACCATCTGCATGAGTTTCCAACAGTAAGTGGAACGTTTCCACAACACTGTCTAGAAACCACTTGGCTAGTACAGTCACTATCACCCAGGATAACTGAACTTCCCTATCCCACTCCACCTCCAATAACGCAAATAGCCAAGACGTAATAACCCAAATAGCCAAGGGTTAACTATGGCGATAATAATAGTCAATGCCTCAAAAATGTAAATTACCTATGTCTTCCGTTTTCAGAGCAAATGCAGAAAACAGTGCACTCAATTTTAAGAACATTCTTCAGGTAAAAGCCTTGCTAAAATCAATACTTTTGTTCCAATTTCAGGACCTGTCCCTAGTTTCAAGGCAGTATGAATGTTTAGGCTAGTGAATATATTCTGTAATTAATGAGAAAAATTTGTACCAAAGAATGGTGACCGATAATTACATTAGTAGTCTATGTTAGGGAACATCAAACCATACTGTAATCATTTTGCAGTCTAGAGATTCCATGGCATCATGTACAGTAGATTTGCTTCTCTAAAATTTCACATTCAGCTCTGGTAAGGATTATGTATCATTTGGAAGACACACGGAGAAGGGGAAAAGGGATGCTTAGTTTTCTGTACAAGGAACGCCCAAGCAGTCTGGGCTGTTTCATCCTGAAAAGGACACAAAAGAAGAATATGACAGAGGTCTATAAAGCCAGAAGAGGTATTGAAAAGGTGAACATAGAATAACTGCTCTTTGTCACTTCCTATCACTTAGAAAGTGCCAAGTGCCATCAGGTAAAACCATGAGGTAACAGAATCTAAACAAACTAGCATACATCTTGATGCATTGTATAGATCAACTGCAAAATGCCTTGCCACACAACATTATGGACACTAAACCCTTCTACAGAAGTGGACACATTAATAGTGCGATGGACTCTTCTTCCACTTAACACAAAAATATCATCTCTGGCTCAAGAAGTCTCAAAGTGTAAATACTTGTAGGCTGGGCAAGTACTCTGCGAAGGCATACAAGAACTAGTTCATACTGATAAAGACAGCAGGCCGAATGATGTTTGGCCTTCATGATATGCTCCTCTCCTCTTACTATCTCAGGCTGGCACTTTCAAGTTCTTTGTAAGATCTGTAACAGCACTGCTCCAAGAATACTGTATTTATGGTATCACTGAAAACTGTAATTCCGCATTTGCCATAGATGATACTGAAGAACCCAAAATTAATCCTCAGCAACTGTACTGATAAGTACGACTAAGGTAAAGTAGATGTCTCCAACCAGAAATATAAAACCTAAAAAGCAAATCTAAAGAAGTGCTGATCTCTAGAAAGTCAGATAAGCAGTAACAGGCCAGTAAAAGGAACAAGAGAAGCAGGAAGAACGTACACAAAGGAACCTCATGCGACGTGAGGGGCAGGGGGGCAGAGACAAAAAAAAACACAACACACCAACACAACCACACCATACACCATCATTACTATTTTCTAGTCAGTCAGTAATACTTAAAAACAACACAAGTTTGATTCCCAGACTACTTTATCATATATATTTTATATTGCCCCAGAGTTCTTAAAGACAAGATAATACCATTATGTAAGAGCTATAAGATTAGGCTGCTTTCAGTTACAGTTGTGCAACTGACTTAAGACAGCTAATGTACAGGCTGCTGCTAAAAGAATAGTCCTGGCCATTCCCATATATCAGCCTTAGCCTGGTCATCTGGGTCAGGGAAAGGATTTTATTTAGCTGAAAAGGAACCCCGCAAGGATGCTAGTACCATCCCAAAGTAACACACAGCAAGGACCCTCCCTGCAATAACAGCATCTTACTGCAGGTTAAGAAAATCATGGAACCCTATAGTAAAAGCTCAGTAGTCCAAAAAACATTAAGATCCCTGACATAAAAGCAAATACAGTATCTTCAACACCCAAACAAAACACATTTCTTCACATTATTAAAAAGCAAATATCCAGAAGCCCTTTATAAAAAAAAAAAAAAAAATTTCTACAAGAAAGCAGACCATGTATGAGCGAAGCTATCTGCATATTCAAAACAAAAACTGCATTGTTTTTCTGGCTAAAAAATGAAGTTACTTGTTGCCAGAAGGCAGAAAGAAGCATAACTTTATATCACTGACATAAAATCAGTAATTTCTTCACTTGTTCTGAAAAGCTAAGACCATTAAATTATTTCTATGCTTACAGAAAGACTCCATAATTACTAATTTCTAAAGCTGGATCCTTACGAGGTTTTACCAGAAATGTTTGCTTCAAAGTTTCTTCAGGAATACCTGCATCTTTTTATAATTTCCCTTGGCAACAAATGGTGTAACATCATTAAAAAAATTCCAAGTATTAACTTACTGTAAATATCATTTTAAACTGGCAAGCCCATTACATGACCTTCAGCAATAGTTCCTTAAGCCACTCTTGTGGCACAATCCCGTTAGGCAACTCTTTGAAAGGAAAGCTTCAGGTTGAGAATGTAGATTTCTGAAATGCAACACCAGTCAGAGTTCATTTTTTCCAAGATTCACATCCTTCTGTAAAGTTGTTATTTAAAGGACATTTGGTCCATAAGGCAGAATTTGCTGTATTCAACACCATGGACAAGATGTATTACTAAGGCAGGGATGTTTCCTGAAGGTGAAGTACAAATTCTTAAGCCTTCTTTGCTATGAAATACTCACTATGAAGCTTTCACTGGTGAAAATAGTTGGTCATGAAAATTATAGTAGGGACAGTACTGTTGGTACATCTTTGCTATTTAAATAATTTCAATCTTATATAGCAATTCACTTTCAGACAAGAATTCATAATTACAGTTAATACAACTGTAAGAGAGTAACTAATAAGATGCTCAGATCTTTGATGCACACTGTCAAAATAGTTCTCAAGACTTCATGCAAAGAAAAAGTTTCAAAATCACCATAGAGAATAGCAAGGTATCCCCAAACACTACTTTAAGTATAAAAACAGAAAACACTTCAAGCTACTTCATACTTCATAAATTTCACTGTATATTTCAATATATTTGAGGCTTTCTTATTACTTATTTCCTAAATAAGCCAGTGTCCAGCTGCCATCTCAGAGAAATGAATTCAACTGCCATGTATCAACCTGAGAGGAAGAATAGTTTTAAGGCTGAAGTACTGGGTTGGCACTTAAGATGGTAGTTTCTCTAACTCACAGACAGCACAGACTCAATACAATCTCCCAACACTCGCAAATTACACTAAGTTCACTAAAGTGTTTGAGATAAGCAGACACTAGAATGGTGAACATTAGAGTGTATACTGTACGTTGCAGTCAAAGTGTAGACAAGGGAAAGGGTAGATCAGCCCAAACACAAGCAGGCTCTCTGTTCCTGCAACTCAGCTGCAACAGAAATAGCAAAGCTGCACCAACAACTAAGCTAAGATACAAATAGATAGAATATTATATATACAGCATAAAAATCTCTAGAATACAATTTACCCAGACTGTCCAAATGAAATCCAGAATCCTGATCATACTTTCTCCTCTCACAAGAGAAAGGACTCAGTATGAAAATGACCAGGCTATTTACAGATAGGTGATAGACAGAAATTTAGAAGTATCTAGTAAAGAGAGAAGAAGGAATTCCAGAAGTGACTAAAAAGTTAATTGAAGTTTTTCACTCATATCACCCAGTTGTTAGTATAAACATAATCCAGACAGGGTATTCAGTGGAAACTTCCTCTTGCAGTTCTACTCAGCAGGAGCAGAACTGATGATAACCTGAATGATGAAATTAGAAAGATGCAAGGAACAGGTAATCACTACTGCAACTTTTCAGTTCTAATCTCTTTGTTACAGAACCTATTAGTAAATGAGGCATAAAAGAGCTATCCTTTGAAAATGCACTGGTGCATTCAGTCTGAGCTACAGACATAAAAATTCCACTCTCCTCCATGAATGGTGCACTTTCAACAACTTTCTATAAACATTCAAGCTCCAACTAAATACACATAAAATTTATCCTATTTACCTATTAAAATCATATGTTAAAATGCAGTTTCTCCTTCATTGTAACTTTTTTCCTAAAAATAAAACTAAGACTAATGATTGATGTTCTCAAACTAAATTCAACCTAAATTGGACGAATAAAAGTTACTGTAAAATAGTTTTGTTTCCAAACCAGGCAGTGTTTTCATTTACACTCAGGATCCCTGTAATTTTTTTTCAACAGACTTATTTCCCCTCATATAAAATAAGAGCGTTCACAAAAAAGTAGGAATAAAACTTACCCCCATTATCTGTTCTCTTTAAAGCACCATCCTTATGAGGGCATAATTCACATCTCTAGGAAAAAAAGCAAAAATAAAATAAAAAAATGGAATGATCATAGGAGCATTGAGAAAGAAACCACAGACATCAAAACTGTCAGCTGACATTAAGGAAGTGACCATTCTTTAAAAGTGAATGGGTGTGTTTTCCCTTAATCTTTACTTGAATATTAATGTTAGTTTGTCACAAACAAAGCATTCTCCTCTAGATCTTGAAACTATGATATATATTAAAGCTACTCGCAGTTCTACGTCCAAGTTTTTATTCCCAGGTTCCACACCCTGGAATTCTGGAGACAAGCCTCCAAAAACTATAGCACGGGTAGACTTGCTTGATAAGAAAGTCCAAAGACTACCTACCATATTTCCTTCTCCTAGGATCTCTGTATTCATCAAGGTGGTCAATCACAAATACATGCCACGGATATAACCAGCACAGGTGCATATACTATGGATGACTTCACAGTCTCTGTTGACTCTCACTTACCCTGAGAGACCAAAACCAACCTTGAGTTCTGTCTCAGAAAAACAAGGTCAGAAGTTGACTCGTCCTTGAAATTCTCCAAGACTGCATGTCTGGAAACATGCAGTTTGACATGTTATTCTACTGACATATACCAGGATCACAACAGTACAATTTTCCTGCTATTGCTGCCTCTATCAAGTTCCTAATATCAAGTTTAACTCTAAGTGTCCTAGAGCAGTGTGAACTAATTCCAAACCAGTTCAGAGAGACAGGAATGGAACAGGTTTGACACACATTCCACTTCAGCTGGTCTAAATGACATGCAAAGGAGCACCATTATAGGAGATCCTATACCTAGGAATGACCTTATTAAAACATTTACGTGTTCCCAAATTAGGGACAACTCAAAGCACGCCAATCTAACAAGCTTTTTAAGAAACTGAAGAACAGTCTGATCATCAGATGCAAACTTTACACCACATCCTTCAAATGGAGAGGGACATCTGATATCACATTTTCTCAGCATTCCCTGAACAGAACTATTCTCCGTTACCAGCTAACTGGCAAGTCAACAGATAAAGGAGCCTATGATGCTAGAAGTGCCTAAGAAACAGATTGTCCAAACCTATCTGAGGAATGAGAAATTCCATTCCTGAAATTCATATGGCTCAAGTATATCTTGAGGATTATCTATTCCTCTTAACCTGTAAGAAAATTCATAATAGCAGCTTTCTTACATGAGAGGCTTTCATAAAGGGTAGAATAGAAAAGTTCTTGAATTATTTTTGCTCGGTGCATTGGCATAGACAGTTGCACATAGGAAGAAGAATCTTTAAGATTGCTGCTTTTTGTCTTTTGCTTCACTCATCCTTCCCTCACCGTCACCCACTAAAACGATCAGCAATTTATTGAAAGGCAGCATTAAGTCTCCGGTGAAATTTAGAGATAAATGCCATTGAAAACTTCTGAACCATTCTGTAAGCTGCCTGCAGACTGGGAGCATTACACTTTTTTTTTTTCTTTTAAGTCAAGATTATAAGGACTTCCTTGCCACTGAAATGAACTGATCAGCTCATTTTAAACAAAATCCTACATATGCAGTGTGTATGTGACCTGCATCTTAACACTCCACTTTTCCAAACATTAAATAGTAGGCGCTGAGACACACTCAGTAGCAGTAGGTTCATTTCAGTGAATCCCCCATACACTGAACCAGATTCTCAAAGCGAGAAGCCTGGTATATACTGGTGGTGACAGCACAATGAAGTTTGTTCCTACTGCAAAGCTGCGAGTTGGCAGCTTAAGGCCAGTGAGCAGAGATGATATACCTACGACTGAGACAAGGGAAGCTGTTAGTCCACTTTGCCCCACTTCTGCAAGCCTGTGGAAGTCTGGCATACATTTTCACTAGTAGCAAAACCAGTTTAGGAGGTTCTCTTCTTCCCTTCACCTCTCCCTTACTAATCTCTCCCTCCACCACTCCCTCAGCTGCTGATCCAACTATCTGTAGGGCTGCCTCTTAAACCAGATCAGTGAAACTGAGTGAAATGAACTTTTTCTTTTTAACATTTTAAATTCAGGTCATATCACTGATGCAATTTAGGCATAATCCCACAATCATTTGCACCAGCAAAACTGAAGGCAGGGAGCCATAGCACCGCAGCATTAGTAATTAAAGAATTAGCAAACTTCTTGAGCAAACTACCACAAAATGAAAAAAAAAAACACAACACAGTCACAGGACACCAAGCGGCAAGGAAATGAACCAGTCCTTTATGCAGAAGAGTTAAGCATGCTCCGTTCAGTCTCATCAGAGCTCAGTTTCAACTGATTTCTTTTCGTCTCGTGTCTCTAAGAGGACTCAGGTCTATTAGGTCTTCCCTTCTTACTCCTCTGCAGCCCTGGCTGCAACCAGTCAGAGAAGAGGAGGAGGGAGTTTTGACAGCAGAAGAAGACGTGAGTGCAGGGAGTTCTGCAGAGTATCCTCTGGCTGGCAGGGAGGGCAGCCATGCAGAGATACTCGCACTCTGATGACACAGAGCACTTTTGGTGCCCTGAATTCTGGCTACAACCTGCAATAAAGTAGCACCCTAGTAAGCTAATACACCACACAGTGACCCCTTCCACTTCCTGCACTAGGTTATGAACCTAACTCCATCCCAGCCTCCATGCTCTCAGATTCTGTCACCCAGTTCTAGTCTCCCAAGTTTCAACCTGCACCACATAGTAACTTCGTAGTAGTAGCTTTGCCAGCTGGGAACAGTGTGTCTCATCCCTTAAGACAAGTAAGTAGTAGAAACTTCTTCCTCTTTGTTTTTGATCCTTTGTTTGTTTGTTTGTTTTAAACTAAAACTTTCTTACTAGTTCTAAAAATCTTACGGCAATGTAGCATTTAAAAAAAAGTGATAGTTTCAGCTGAAAATTTGCAAAGTGACTGAAAAAATCTTAGGAACTTTCAAAATGCTTAGAAGCATATTGTTACAAAGGATTCTGTAGGAGAAAGGAAAGGAGATAGTTGGGTGCATACGTATCTCAGAAGTCCAGTTACTTATTCAAGTACTTTTGTCCATGCAATGTCTCGCTTCTTCCAGTTTACTCATGGATGGAGCTTGGAGTTTAAATGAACAGCAACAGCTAAATCTCTACTAAATGCCACATCACATGCAACTTGTATGATGTTTTGAAGCTCTGACCTCTGCAACATAGTGTAAGGAATAATCTGACCATCTGTACAGATGGTCAGATCATCTCTAATATTTGAGTACATGGACCATGCCAGGGCTCTCTTCTGCAGGTGTGCGTTTTAAGTCTTGGCTCTGGCAAAGGATTTCTGGCACAAGTTTATTGTCTCAGCACTCAAAAACATTGTGGGGAACTACTAAATAAGCTGGGCGGGGAGGGCAAGGGAAGAGGTTGTGGGGGTGGACACAACACCCACAAGTATCACTGCATAAACAGGGCAAGCTGATGACTGATGAACAGTTCAGATAAATATCATCAGGTTAGACAGTGCAAATGTGAATACTGAAGACTGTGACCCAAGAGAATAACCACATCCTTTGGTGTGCTGAAGGGCACTAGTCCTATCGCAGGGAGGGGCACCAGTGCATGTGGTGCTGTAGCTACAGCCAGTTGAATTAGATTTGAAGAAAAGGAGTGAAAAATACACAAATAATGACTGAAGGAAGACTGAAGTTGTAGCAAGTGGCATTGATCCTCCCCTTCCTATCCTTATGGAGTGTAACAAGGGCATCTCATTTTTGCAGCTCTTTGGTGGAATGGACTAAGTTCATGGATCTAGCTTCTGTCCAAGCAGAATACACCTGAAGTCTCAGAAAATTTGGACTATGAGGTTCCCTGTAGAGGACTAAAGTGAAACCAATCTCAAAGTTGTGCAGTTGGAACAGTCTGACAGTCTGACTGTTACAACTCACTTCTGAGCTACACAAACAGCAAGTTAATGAAGTAAAAGACAACTGATCCTGTAACCTTAGCATCCAGGTGAATTGAGACTGCCTGGGTCTGACTAAAAATGCTCTGCCTCCTGAGGGGTCCAATCTTTAAAAGGTCACCCAGCAGAGACCTAAAGCTGTCAAAAGCATGGGAAGCCCACGCAAAAGGGGAAAGAATCAATTTTTTTCTGTCATTATTAAAAAAGTAGAAGTAACCAAAAAGAAATAAAGAACAGTAAAACAACAAAAAAGTAAAAAATGGAGGTGCCCACTAAAGATACGTAGCGGAAAAAAGTTCCAAGACCAGAAGACCAAAATAAGAGAAGTAAAGAAGGAGATAAATAAATCCATCTTCCTATACTGAATTAGTTACAGTCCAGTTTGGCTCCACTGCATTGTGGCACAAAGTTTTCTCCCTCTATTTTAGATAAATATTCCTTTCCATTTTAACCAGGACTAAGAGCTACCTTAACCGGCAGTAGGTAACATTAGACAAATCTAATTACTCGAGTCTTTTTGGTTAACCTAACTCTACTAATTTGTCAGCTGGAAACAGAGGAAAGGCACAGAGAAGCTGACTTAATCCAACAGACTACCTTACTGAAATGAAGAGAAAGAGCAAGAGATGCATAGTAGATAGTGAAGACAAAGAGAGGTATGAACAAGACTATACAAGTAGGAGAGCAGAAAAAAAGAACGGTAGGAATACAGCGTTGTTCTTCCCTCAGGGTTCTGTAAATTTGGAACAAGTTTCATAAAGCATCATCTGCAGACATCCATTATGTGCTGTCTCTTCTTATAAGAAAACAAAGGTCAAAGAACTCTTGGTGCAAGTAATTTACCAAATTCTGGTCAAAGCTAGGCCAATGGAACCATTCACCTGAATAATGACTGTCAACCAAGTCAAGTCCTGCAGGATTGAATTCCCAGCATTGCAATGAGGCAGTAGACTTGTGTCTACTGAACACAAGAAGATCTACAGCAGATTAAAGAGACCACAGTTCCTAAAAGTTAGCTGAGAAACCAGGCTGCACTGCCAGCTGACTTTACTTCAGGCTCACTGTAAGCTAATGTAATTGCACACTGCGTACTTTCTAC